TCAACTCCCAGAATTCCCCAGCCAGCGAATGCTGGCTGGGGAATTCTGGGAGTTGAAGTCCGGACATCTTCAAGTTGCCAAGGTTGAGAAACACCATTAACTGAAGAATAGATGTTTTCCATTCATAAGATTGAAGCCCAGATATTTCCAGTTAAAAGACATCAGGCAGAATATTCTCTTTCTGCTTGGAGCCCCAGAGAGCTGCTGGCAGTCAGATAACAGCCAGCGTGGCAGATCTTTGCCACTATAAATATCGCTGACTCTCAGTTCCCATTAACTCTGATTGTTTGCTCTGGTAGTGATAGAACATCTGCATGATGCCAAAGTAGTAAATTTTGACTAGGCTCAATAAAAAGTACAAAAGAGATATTTTGCTGTCTAATCATGGCATCACATCTCAGTCACTGAAACTGATGTGCCAGGCAAGTTCACAACGGACATTAACATTAGCTCTGGTGATATTTTATTTTAAATATTGGTGGAATACCGACTGCTTGTGTTATTTATGAAACTAGCCACTTCAAAATGCAATGATGGTCACTAAGGAAAATCAGGAAAAACCTCTGGATGCAATGCCAACATGGAATTCACTCATGTCTGGCTGTAGAGCAGCTCAATTTTTAAAAAAATATCGAGAAATAAATAGACTTGACTGTGGCTTTCACTCCGACTTCTGAATCACATCTCTTGGATAATTCTTAGATTCCTCCCCTTATCCAAGAAGAAAACACATTTTCCCATTTAAACTTTTCCCAGGTTAATTTAAAAGTAGAGGAGTGCATGTTATTATTCAGAGAAACACCTATGACTATGATAGCGAACCTATGACACATGTGCCACAGGTGGCACACAGCACCCTCTCTGATGGCACACGAGCTGTCGCCCCAGTTCAGCTCCGCTGCGCATACACGGGTGTCACCCCCCCCAGCCAGCTGGTCTTCGGGTCTGCATGTGCATGGGGCATGTGGGGGGTCACGAGAGCTTACACAGGGGTGAAGGATGCATGGAGGGGGCTACGTGTGCCTGTGGGGGGGCATGGTGCATGCACGGGGCCCGTGGGCACATTGCATTTTGGGGGTTCAGGCACATGCGCTTTGGTCACTCATACCGGAAAAGGTTAGCCATCACTGACCTATGACAAAGCCAGTTCAGGTAGTCCTCAAATTACAATAGTTCGTTTAGTGACCGTTTGAAGTTACAACAGAAAAAAGTGACTTATGACCGTTTTTCACACTTGCAACCATTGGGGATGGTCACATGATCAAAATTCAGATGTTTGGCAACTGACTCACATTTATGACAGTTGCAATGTCCCAGGTTCATGTGATCCCCTTTTGCGACCTTCTGATGAGCAAAGTCAATGGGGGAGCCAGATTCACTCAACAACCGTGTTACTAATTTAACAACTGCAGTGATTCACTTAACAACTGTGGCAAGAAAGGTCATAAAATAGGACAAAACTCACTTAACAACTGTCTCTCTTAGCAATATGAATTTGGGGCTCAGTTGTGATCGTAAATCAAGGATTAGTAATTAACAAATGCTGAAGTTTCAAAAGAGGTTTTGAAACTTGGGGTTTTTTTTATTGTGAATAAAGGGGTACTGGAATATTCTTGCTTTGAATTCATATATCTACCTACATGTCTATGTAAAGAAATTAATGTACACACACTTAGGGAGTGCGATCAGAGAGAAGAACTTAAAATTGGTAGTCCTTTTAAGATTAAAGATAAACATTCAATTAATGTTTTATTTTTTGAGATTTAGAAATAAAGGAACAAAACGATCAAATGAAGGCAGCATCCGATTATCTTGAGTGCAAAAATTTGCATGGAGAAAACAAACATACCAGAGAGATTACCATCCTCCTTCCCTGCGGTTTAACTGAGGCAGGAACATTTTAACATGCATTCTCCCAAAGTGATCCTAAAAAGGATTAACTATCTCCATAATTTTTTTCCTGATTCTAGTTAATCTCCCTCTCCTTACAGGAGAAGTAACAATACATTTAGAAGGCTGACGTCTCTGCTAGCCTTAGAAGCAGATATATTTTACCCACATTCTCAGCATAGCGTCTGCAGAGATATCAGAACTGTAACATGTACTGAAACATCAATATATATATACAGCACTCTGATTTTTAAAAAATAATTAAATCTGTATATACATGTTTTCCATAAATACAATAAATGCAAACTTTTTTTTTAGTAGAACATGAAGCCAGGTGCTAAATAATGTTTTGAGAGTGATAGTGGGGGAACACAGTTGTAAGAATATACCATATATAAAAGTGTGTGTGTGTGTGTGTGTGTGTGTGTTCTAGCATAACTCTGGAACACCTTGACCAATTTCACT